TCATTGTTTCCACATTTGTTTTTCTGTATCTGGGGTAAGGAGAGAGATGAAGGGAGAAGCCCCACCTGCCTCTCACCCCATCCCAGGGTTCCCGGCATAGGGCATGCTCCGAGGGCACTGCTATAGTGGTTTGGCCAGATTTTCACTGCCAACACACGGCTGGGGTAGTTCATTGATTTGTTCTGTCCTCCATCCTTTGTTGTGGTATCAAGTATCCTCTGCAGGTTCTGATGGACTGCCAATCCTCCATGTGCACCTGGATATGCTGTCACTGCTCCATCTAAGCCCAGAGGAGCCTCAGCTTTGACACTTGCTCTCCATGGTCAGACCATGGAACCTGCACTTTTCTTCATGGTTGGGGTTCTGAGATCAGCAGTTCAGTTGGAGGGATCCCCAAAGAAATTTTGTCTGAGGTGATCACAGACCTGATTTTTGTGTGTGCATGGCAGTACAGGGTGTGGAACAGTCTGTAGCCCCAATCAGCACACATTGGTATTTGCAATTACTAGGTCAGTTCTGTTTCCAGCCCCATCTTCTACACAAATCAATGAGTGTTGCAGTCCAGCCTGATACTGCCCAATGCACACACTCGGCCTTCACACAAACCCATGGGAGCTGAAGCCTAGGGGAGCACCCACAATAACCCCAACCAGGCCCATCCCGTTCCCTGGTTCCCGTGCTTGCCATACTGTACAGCAGACTATTCCAGTCTGTCCAACATCACATTCAGCTCTTCTACATGTCAATGAGCATTGAAGCCTAGTTCAACCCAACCAGCCCCACTATCCAGCCCATACACATGCAGGTGGGTGCTGTTCTGTCTAGCCACCCCTGCCCCAGTTACATACATATATTTTTTAAAACATAAGAATTGGGGACGATTTATATCTATCACTGCTATGTTACAGTCTCTCCAGCAGTTATAAGAGTGAGATTGATGACAGTAATTTTTTTAAAGATTTATTTTTATTATTTTTTCATTGGAAAGGCAGATATACAGAGAGGAGAGACAGAGAGGAAGATCCTCCATCCGATGATTCACTCCCTAAGTGAGCGCAACGGGCCGATACTATGCCGATCCGAAGCCAGGAGCCTCTTCTGGGTCTCCCACGCGGATGCAGGTTCCCAAAGCTTTGGGCCGTCCTCGACTGCTTTCCCAGGCCACAGGCAGGGAGCTGGAAGGGAAGCAGGGCTGCCGGGATTAGAACGGGTGCCCACATGGGATCCTGGGCGTGCAAGGCGAGGACCTTTAACCACTTGCGCCACAGCGCCGGGCCCGTTGACAGTATTAACAAGTACAACTTTCACATCAAATAATGGAATAAGTCAGTTTGGAAGATCTGCATAATTGAATGAACTAATATTTTCTGAGTGATCAATACATTATGTTAACAAAATCACATATAGGTCAGAGATCCTACCAAGGCTTAAGTTTTTTTTTTAAATAATAATCTTGTTCACTTCTGCTGAGAAGCCTGTTTGGGGTTGCTTTTCCCTAGGTTTTATATTTTTTTTTCTAAGATTTATTTATTTTTATTGCAAAGCTGGATATACAGAAAGGAGGAGAGACAGAGAGGAAGATCTTCCATCTGGTGATTCACTCCCCAAGTGACTGCAACGGCCGGTACTGCGCCAATCCAAAGCCAGGAGCCAGGAACCTCCTCCAAGTCTCCATGTGGGTCCAGGGTCCCAAGGCGACTGCTTTCCCAGGCCACAAGCAGGGAGCTGGACAGGAAGTGGAGCTGCCAAGATTAGAACCAGTGCCCATATGGAATCAGGGCAAGTTCGAGGCGAAGACTTTAGCTGCTAGGCTACCGCGCTGGGCCCTAAGATGTTCATTGATACAGTTTCCGTTTACAGGTTCCAACTAACCCTACTGATCCTTAAAAAATTACTGCTTATCCAGTTTCATATAGTATCAAAGAGAATATCCATAATTGTCTGAAAGTACTACTAAAATGCCCCTTTCTCCAACTGCATACATAAGAAGTCATTTTTTCATGTATTTTAACAAAAAATAACATATCACAACCTACTGAACAGATAGGTAAATACATGAATTAAGCTGTTATGTGTTATCTAGACATAAATAACATGTACAAAAGTATGAAACAGAGGCAGCTGTTTGTGTAAAAATATTTGATTTTTGAAGAAAAGACTAGACTGGGTGACTTCATTGCTGAATTCTATCAAATATTTCAATAATTCTCCACAATTTATTCAAAACAGCAGAAAGTGAAATAGTCCTTTCAAATTCTTTCCATGAAGCCAACATCACCTTAAAAACAAGTGAGGGACACGACAGAAAAGAGAACTATAGACAGAAATTCCTGGTGATCATAGATACAAAAATCCTCAGCAAAATACTAGCCAACAGAACCAAACAATACATCAGATCACTCACTCATACCCGGTGGGATGTATCCCTGACATGCAGGGATGGTTTAATAAATCAATAAATATGATACACCACATCAGCAAAATGAATAATTAAAAAAATCGCATAATAATTTCAAAAATGCAGAGAAGGTAGCTGATAAAATCCAGCAACAATTCATGCTAAAATCCCTAAGCAAGACAGGCATAAAAGAAACATTATATGACACAATCAGCAATATGGAAAACCCAACGCCAGATTCAAAATGAACAGGAAGAGACTGGAAACGTTTCCATTCAGATCTGGAACTAGACAAGGATATCCACTTTTACTGCTGCTATTCAACAGTGTTAGAAGTTCTCACTAAAACTGTTAGAAAAGAGAAAGAAATTTAAAAAATTCAAATTGGGAATGAGGAAGTCAAATTATTTCTATTCACAGATGACATGAAATTATACATAGAAAAACCAGAAGACTATTGGAACTCATAAGAGAGTCTGGCAAAATAACAGGGTACAAAATCAATGAACATAAACTGATAGCCTTGGTATACACAACTTCATGGCTGTGGAAAAAAAGTCTTGTAAGATCAGTACTATTCAAAATAGCAGAAAAGAACTTTTAATACCTTGGAAAAAAAACCTAACTGATTACATGGAAGACCTCCATGATATAAGACAACCTTCATGCAAAGTACAAAATAGTCACATAGGTAAACAAGTATATACATATATTCTCATGGAGGAACTGTATAATGGAAACTACCATACCAGGAAGTGAAAACACACTTCAGTACACATCTTTACTCCTGAATGAAAGGACTCCCAATGAAACTGCTAAATATACCTTAATACCATGATACTAAATATTCCACCATTGCCTATACCTATAATGCCATTATATACTTAAATAGCAGAATGTTAAACTTGTAACTGTTACTGAAGGATTAACACTACTGTGATATTATCAGAGAATATGGGGGAGGGGAAAATAAAGAAAGAGGTAGGAGAAGAAAAGGGAGGAATCTCAAAAACTATAAAAGTGTATCATGGAAAATAAAAGAAAGATGGCAAATACATTTTGTTTTTAATATATAATATATATGTCTTAGTATATAATAAACTTTATTGTCTTTTTAAAATAGTTAATAGTTTTTGAATCTATGGCTTGATTTTTGCTACCATAAAAAATCCAAAGTTATCACTCACATAAGCTCAGGTTCTTTAAAGTATCTAACATTTTTAAAGTGTACATTGAAGTCCCAATTCTAAAGAGTCCTCAGTCAACAACAGGAAACAAACAGAAAACATAAAAAGTGATTATTGTTTAGCACCTAATTCAATTTCCCAAAGTCAGTGCCCCTATGTTTTCCATGGTCCATATCTAAAACTCTGTCCATCCCACAAGTAAGATGGTCAAAATACTTAGTCTAAAGAGAATATTAGGGATAACCCTTTCTGGTTTTTGTTTAATGAACATGTTTCATGACCTTTCATTCATGCAGTTATTTCTGCCTGGAAACTTTGCTCCTACCCCTTCTCCTACACACATCCTCACACATCTGACTTGTTTTTCAGTTCTCAACTACAACTTCCAAAGTTAACACTCCCTATTTGCTCTCATAGGTCCATGAGGCTTTCTTTCTGGTAAAAATAGTAGTGCTCTACTATTCGTGGCTGTCTCCCTTCCTATTAGCTCCACATGGTGAAAGGTTTTTTTTGTGTGTGGTTTTTGTTTGTTTGTTTGTTTGCTTACAGTCTCAGTGTGTATCACAGCGTTTCACTGTGTGTGTGTATTCAGAGTCAGTTGTTTCTCAACATGAAAAACACATGGGAGGCAAAAAAAAAAGTATATAATATATTTTATTGATTGTTCCATCATTTAAAATATTTTTCTTCAAGTTACCAACCATAAGTCATAAGAGTTCTGTTGAAAACAGTCTCTTTTTGTGGACTTTCAATTCAAAAGATACCTTACTGGTATAGTCATTCTGAAGGAAATTAGATTGCTGGGTTGATTTACACAGATGCCATTTCCCAGTGCCTTCTCCAAACTCAAGTTCTTACTTTCCAAGCTAATTTTTTTTTTAGAAATTACCAAAAACCCCTTTCATTAATGGTTGTTCTGAGTCTTTTTCTAAAAATATCTTTTATTAAATACAGGAAAAGGTTGGATTCATGCTGTATAATTTCTTTTAGGACTAATGGTACATTTTCCAACTTCAGAAGTTGTTTTTAAGACCACAGAGGTATCAGATTAAATGAATGTGGTGACTACCTCAGGACAGTAGAATTTTATTCCATTTTACTTCCAAGAACATAGCTGTTAAAAAAGTATTGCCATTATTTATTCTTCACTTTGTATTTTATTAACTGAGAGGATCAAATTTCCTTCTTCCTTTTGAAGCACTCTGTGTATGTATGTGATCCTGTTGCAGAGGCAATTTTTTTTTTCATTTGAGAGCTCTAAATTTTGATACCATTATAATTAGGAAGCCTAAGAGATTTGGATAAAGGCAGAAGATATTTGATCCTTTCAGATGGCCAGGCAACAATTTACAACCTTTGCTTTACAGTGCTCAGTGATGATCCTATTGGTGATCAAGATGCTTTCTTTTACACAGAAACAAGTGGATATCAATGCTGCTATTGAAGCCTTGATTGAATCAAATACTGCCCTACGGATGGAGGTAATATATCTGGCTTTGCTTTTTATTGGCAATCTCAACACACAAATTGAACAGATATTTCTCTGGATTCCAAAATGTGGCTTTGTCTCAAAGATTGTATTTAAAACATACGCAAAATATGAAGTCCTTGCAAGTATATAGCAAATAATTTTTGTATGATTAAATAGAAATATATGCAGAGCATATTTCGTAAAGCATGCTTTTAAAACAAATAAAAATGTAATATTGTTAAAAGAATTTGTGAAAATTTGTTGTCATTGAAACAAATTGATAATGGGGTAGTTATATTCACTAAAATGGGAATCTATCATCATTAATTCATTTATTTTAAATAAACTGATTATTCAGTGTGTGAATTTAAAACCTGTTAGATCTTTAGGTCTTAGGTCCACCTGAACACTAAACTTTGAAGTGTCCTAGACTAAACTTTGAAATGACCTATTTATTTTGCTTAATAAAACATATAGAGATGCTTATGTTAAAATGTAAACTCTTCTCACATCTTACCCCCAACTAACCACATGTGATTAAAAAAAAAAGTGTTCTACTTTGATCCATGTTGACCATTAATGGATTATGGGGGTTTTTTGTTTTTGTTGCTGTTATTGTTTTTGCTTATATGATTCTTATGATGTCTTGACAGAGCTACCAGAATACCGAAGTGACTTTAATTGACCACAGTGCAGAAATATTCAAAACCCTGAACGACCTCAGCAATTTACTGCACAGCATCAAGAATCCTCTTGGCACAAGGGATAATCCAGCACGAATCTGCAAAGATTTGCTCAACTGTGAGCACAAGGTATCAGATGGTAAGTTCTTAGTTTCCTTGAACCTTGAAATCTCAGCTTCATTTCTGCACTTCCAATGCATTTAAGATTTGCCATATATCATTCCAAATTTTAAACATTTCAGCAAAACCCTGACATGAGCCATTGTAATGTCATCAAAAACACAATACTCTTACAAGAGGACACAATTCAGATGCCTCTCCTATCTATCTATCATCTATCTATCTATCTATCTATCTATCTATCTATCTATCTATCTATCATCTTTTGTCTGCTCCATGTTAAAAATTAGTTAGTACTGAGCATTGGGTTGACAGGGAGGAAAATCTATCAGAACTTGGAACTTAGAAAATCAGGACCATTAATGTTGACAGCATAAAATCACATAATTCATTCTGTTTCTCCCTCTTCCTCTGTGTCTCTGTCTTTCAAATAATAAATGAACTTATTTAAAATAATATGTAGTTAGTAGGACAGGAGTATAAGCACAGAAACCACTAAAGTGATTACTGGAATAACCCAAGGATGGCTAATGAGGTGGACTAGAGCTGATTTCAAGGGAGTAGTAAAAATTATCATATTTTTTGTATACCTTAAGATAGAATCATTGGGTTTTTTTGTTGGTAGATATGGGCTGTGAGAGAAATGATGGTAAAGAATGACTCTAAGGTTATTTTTACTGTAGAAAGGCAGAGTTGCTGATGTTGAATACTGCGGGAGAAGCATATTTGGGGAAAAAGTCAGGAGTTCGGTTTGGAATATATTTAGAGACATCTGATAGATATTCAAGTAAGAATGTCAAGTAGACTGTTGGTTATTCATGTGCATGGTCAATAGAAATCCTGTTCTGTATAAAAATTATGAAATCATTCACATATAAATGGTATCTAATGTCTACAGAAAGCTTAAAATTCACTAAATAGTATGAATAGAAGGAAAACCAAACTCTAAATTCTTTGCCCTGGTGTTCTCCAATGTGAAGAGATGAGAGTGTGTGGTTAAGAGCTAGATAAATAAGATATCCAGGAATCAAGCAAAAAAAAAAAATAAACAAGCTGGCAGAGAAAGAAGGATGCACTGAGTCAATGTCAAGTAAGATGAGCATTCAGAGAAAAGCTAATGTATTTAGAAATGCAGAGTTCAGTGGTGACCTTCAATGAGAGCACAGTAGAGAAGTGCTGATGTCTAAAGCCTTATTCAATTTTTGAGAGAAAAATGTAAATATTACATTAACTTTTGCTTTCCTACTAACCATTCATTCTCAGTTGCCAAGCTCTTATCTATGACTTGAAGCAATGAATTTAATCACTTATGAAATGCCTTAAATGGGTAGATATGTAAAAATATAGTATTATCAATATCAGTTTTGCATAATATTTTTAGCTTTCATTCACTCACTGAATGTAAACATATTTATGATATTCTGGTTTTTGACAGATAAGATTGTGATAATATATAAAGCAGATATGGTTTAGCATGGCACTTAACTAATTTTATGTTTTACTATAAATAAAGGAAAATACTGGATTGACCCAAATCTTGGATGCCCTTCAGATGCTATTGAGGTTTTCTGCAATTTCAGCGCTGGTGGCCAGACATGTTTATCTCCCGTTTCTGTGACAAAGGTATTTGTTAAATTTTAAAACATATGTCTTCATGTTCTACAGTATCATGAGGGTGATTTTTTTTAAATTCTATCATTTTCAAGAATTATGAGTTTTAAGAATGAAACCAAGGTATCATTCATTCTTCATCATATATGAAAAAGAACTATCTGTTTCGAAAAGTAGTTCAACAGGATAAATCTGACATTTTGTATATTTCCTTGTGGCTTTCCTTCCACATTGTCATCCTATGTCTTCCTTTTGTCTGCCCTCTCTTTTCCTGGGTCCTTCTGTTATTTTTTTATTTTATTTTCCTTCTCCATTATTACAACTGATATTTAATTCTATAAATGGAGACTAATTTTAATGTCTTCATAGAAATCACAGCTGTTTGCTTACATTATCACTATACCCTTGTTTACATGATGCAATAGTATTAATAACAATGTCTAGAGTTTTGAAAACTCTGCTTTACAAGCCTGGAAAATCTGCAACCTGACCTCTAACTCTAATTTGTCCAGTACTGGTCATGTTTTTTTTTAAAGATTTATTTTTATTATTTTTTATTGGAAAGGCAGATATACAGAGAGGAGAGACAGAGAGGAAGATCTTCCGTCCGATGATTCACTCCCCAAGTGAGCACAATGGCCGATGCTATGCCAATCCGAAGCCAGGAGCCTATTCCGGGTCTCCCACGCGGGTGCAGGGTCCCAAAGCTTTGGGTCATCCTCAGCTGCTTTCCCGGGACACAGGTGGGGAGCTGAAAGGGAAGCGGGGCTGCCGGGATTAGAACTGGCGCCCATATGGGATCCCGGCCGTGCAAGGCGAGGACCTTAACCACTGCGCCACCGCGCCGGGCCCGCACTGGTCATGTTTTAAAGCTGGTTAATACTTGGTCATTCCTGCAGTTAGTCATTCAGGTAACAGTTACTGATGACTCCATAAATGACTACATCTGCATTAGAGCTGATAATAGAGTAAAATTCAATCCTTCTCTCTGAAAAGTCTCATAGTTAAAATTCCTAAACCAAGTTATTTCGACTTGTAACATATCTTTGGAGGCAAACCAAAAATTGTACCTGAAGATTTATATGTAGTTCCATGTTTTTATTTAAAAAATTGAAATCTTAAATTATTATTATATCCAATATGACTGTATAAAAATTGCCTTTTTAAATTATATGAAGCAGCCCACTGGCATGCCAGAGTTAGTTCATACAGGAGTAGGAGGGCTAATTGGTAATATCTCCACCCAACTCCACAGTCAATAACATCACTTTGGTATTCTAAAGTTAACCATGGTAAGAGTATTCTCACCATGGATATCAGGAAATGCTACAAATCAGGGGATTTTTGCTCAAAGAAACTATGCTTTAAGATTTGCTGGGAGAGCACTGAATGACACTTACATTCCAAGAAAAACAGCCTTCTCAGGTTCTCCCAGACTATGAGTTTGTCAATTGCCACATCTTATAACCTGCATTTTATTTCTGTGACATTAGTTGGAGTTTGCTGTTGGGAAGGTCCAGATGAACTTCCTTCATTTACTGAGCTCAGAAGCCACGCACGTCATCACCATTCATTGTCTAAACACTGCAAGGTGGAGAAGCGCACATACAAGTGGCCCAGGACTGCCCATTGGTTTTAAAGGATGGAATGGACAGATTTTTGAAGAAAACACTCTACTAGAACCTAAAGTACTTTCAGATGATTGCAAGGTAAGAAAATGTCGCTTTCAGAAATGTTTAACTCAACTAACTTAAAACTAACAAAACTATATAGTTATAATGTTGAATGAGACTTTAATTTACAAACTTCAGATACAGAAAGATAGTAACTTTTGCTTTCACTGTATCTTGTTCATTTTTGTCACACTAGCTGATCACTTGTGGCTTTTTTCATGTAAAACATGCTAATGCAAAAATTCAGTTTTATTCAACATGAAATGATTGTATTATACATAGATTGGCAAATGGATGGGTAGAATGATAGATGAATAGTTGGGGCATATATATAGTTGGATTTTGGTGGAGCACTTTCACTACCATTATTATACATATCACTACTACTTTAAATTATAGGAACAAGTCAGTTTTATGTCCTTTTGTCAGTGCATATATCTAATATAAGAAGTTTATAATTATAGATTTGGCCCTAATAGCAAGAATTTTAAACACAGCTCATTTAATTAAATAATGTGTTTTTATAATTTATAGTATAAAACATCGATTCATAAGGCAGGTATTAGTAAACTACACTCACCAAACTCAGTCTGCACCACAATCTATTGCAGTAAGTAAAGTATGACTGAGACACAGCCATTTCCATATGCTATGAAAAACAATACAACAAAGATCAGGATCTCCATACTCAAAGAGATTAATATTATCAACAGATTAATTTAACTTTTCAGTCTTTCCTATAAAAATTCAATGACTCATTGGTACCTCTGAGAGACACAATCCAGAATTACCAGCTCTACTTAGCATGTAAAACAATCAGGTACCTGTCTATCTTAGTCTTTTACCAACTGGATAAAGTGATCTATTTGTTAAAATAAATTTGGTGATAATCTAACTGCTTTCGACAGAGGTAATTCTAGTCATTTCCTGCTTAAAGAAATGACTTACTCATTTTACCGAAGAAAAATACCCTTGCTGGAGGGTCAGTCCCAAGTAAATGAAGGCAGAACATACTGTGATTACGTGCATGAAGAATAGTGCAGCTTTTTAGTTCATATCTAATTTTAAAAACAGCAGAATCAAAACATAGGCCTTATGTTCTAGAAGTGAAAACGCAAACACACAATGCCATTAAGGAGAAAGGTAACAAGCCTGGGTTTCTGATTATTAGTAGTGATTGTTGCCATTTATTAAATTCTGTTGTAGGTTTTTTCCATCTGTTCTCAATTACTGTTAAACCAAATCTACAGCGTCTGTGATGGTTACCATCTGCTGACCATTGTCATTGAAGCGGCTCCATCTGAAAGCACTGTGTTCTTATTTTTACAGATTCAAGATGGCAGCTGGCATAAGGCAAAATTCCTTTTTCACACCCAGGACCCTAATCAACTGCCAGTGATTGAAGTACAAAAACTTCCTCATCTCAAAATTGAACAGAAGTATTACATTGAAAGCAGTTCAGTCTGCTTTCTCTAAAGTCTCTGAATTAGTTCAGAATTCATGCTGTTGGTCAGATAATTGCTGCAGATGGGAAAACATAGAACGATATGTCAACATGAAATGCATGGAATATAAAGTGTTGGTTAAATCTTAAAGAATCTCAGGAAGAAAAGACTTCCTCCTAAGAAGGAGAAAAGGCATTTTTTAAAGGACTATGATTGATAAAGTATTTAATTTTTTTAAAAAAATTATATTGATCTAAGCCTTCTTAGAGAATTCCCTAGAACTGAAAATTTATAAACACGGGATTCTTCAGGGTATCCTATATTTTTGTTTTTGACTGCCTGAGAGCAAAGTATTCATTAGACAGCTGGAGATGCAAAGCACTATGGAACAATACTGGCTAATGTTCCCAAAGGTGCAATGCTTCTGTCTAAATATTGCAAGCTACAATCTGATATGTCTTATTTTCCAAACACTAAGCTGTGTTCAGGTGCCCAAGAGGCATATACATCTTAGCCGGTGGTACACTACCTCTTCATGTGTTGCCTTTTTGTGTTGCTTGGTGCTCTTTCTAAAATAAGGTGCTTGTGGCTTTCATGAATTGTTATCCTTATTCTCTTTGTCATTAACAATGTATGTACTGGTTACATCAACATATGCATTGACTGTCACATATTTTAATTTGTTTGGACATACTTAATAACAAGTAAAGCAATTATTTATGTAAAGTCCTTGTTTTATTTTAAAATTCTCTGGTGTATATGGAATCAAAGCCAGTACAAGGTAACCAGTGTAATACACAAGAGAATTGGGAGGTTTCTTTTCCATTTGTTTTATTTTTTAAACTGTTTTTGAAAATATTATGGGCCAGCTACATCAGTAGTAAGTTTGGGTTAGAGATTAAGGGTTGTGATATATTATTTTAAAAACCCATGATCATCTGGAATGATATTTTATGTATATATATTTTGTAAAATTTTAATTCAGCAAACTTTTTGAAATTGCTGCTGTTTTAAATTATAAAAACTTTTTATTTCTGCTTTATAGAAAGTACATAGTTTTGATCTATTCATTGATTTTTCTTTCACTGTGCTTAAATTTAACATTAGGATATACCAGGCTTGAAAGAAACATCCAAGAAAAAAGTCTTTTGCCATTTAAAATAGGTTTATCCATCTCAGTCCTTCCTTGTTTTCAGAGAAATGTTAGCTCAGCTTTAAAAGAAAAATATTGTACCTTTCGTTATATAAAAAAGGCTTGTTCATGTGTTATATAATTAACCACAGCGAACCGTACTTATCTATCTATAATAAAAATGTGCTTTAACTATCTGTGTTGGTATTAGTTTTCCTTCTTTTTTTAACAGGTGCTTTCATTGTGTATGTTACCTCCACTGGCATAGCCATACTAGCTGCATTTATGTTCTTACAAATAATCTGTTCTATACCCATTCAGAAGGATTATAGAGCCATGAGACAAAAATAAACAGTCACATTGTAGTCTAGCTACTAACACCATTGGAAGAGGAAAAGACACTCTTCAACAAATGATGTTCAGCAAACTGTATGTCCACATGCAAAAGAATGAATCTGGGCCTTTACCTTACATCATATGCAGTTACCAACTCAAGGTGTGACTTAAACATAAGAGATAAAACTACAAAACTCTCAGGAGAAAGCATGGCCAAAAATCTTCATGACAGGGGATTTGGCAGTCACTTCTTGAGATGATACCAAAAACACAGATAACAAGAGGGGGGGAAATTAGCTTGCAATACATCAAAATAAAACTTTCTGTGCATCGTAGTACAGCATCAAGAAAGTGAAGAGGGTGGTGGGTGTTTAGACTGGAATTCAGCTAAGACACCTACATTCTACATCAGTTTGATTCTCATCTCTAGTTCTGGGTTGCAGCTTCATGCTAATGAAGACCCTGAGAAGGAAAGGTGATAGCTCAGTGTCCCATGTGGGTACTTGGGCTGAGTTCCAGGCTCCCAACTTTGGCCCAGCGTAGTCCCAGTCACTGTGGACATTTGGGGAGTAAACTAGTGAACGAGTGCTTTATCTCTCTCCACGCCCCTTCTGTTTTCCCCATCCTTCTTCCCTCCATCCCTGTTTCTCAAATAATTTTAAAAATTTTAAATAAAATGAAGAGGAAAAATACATGAATAGCAGAAAACATTTGCAAATTATGTACCTGATTGGGAATTAACATTCAGAATATATAAGAAACGCATACAATTCAGCAATTCAAGAAATGAACGAAGGACTTGAATAGATATTTTTCCAAAGAATTTATACAAATAAAATGAAAACATACTCAAAATCACTATTTAATAAGGAAATGTAAACCAAAACCACAATAAGATACCACTCCAATGGTACAATATAGAATTATACTTGGTCTTTGTCCTTGAATCCTGACACAGGGCCCCTTAAAAAATCTCAGAATCCCCAAGTGAAACAAGTTTATTCTGCTAGTTATAAGGACTCCCCTTGAATCACAAATGGCTTTATGCTAATGATGTGACTTAAGATGGGGCTTCTAAATGGACTCAAAATGGACTGCTAACCAGAATTGCCAAAGTAATTGGAGGCTTGGAATTTACATCCCCACCTATAAACCTTCTGGTCTTGGGAGAGGGTAAAGTCTGGAGACTGAGCTGTGGGCAAAATCTGTTCTTTTTTATTATTATTTTAAAATAGTCTCTTTACATGAGAGGCAGAGAGAGCAAAAGAGAGAGAGGATATATGATTTCCATCTGCTGATTCATTTCCCAGAAGTCCTCAGTAGCCAGGGGTGGACCACAATCAGGCCAGGAAATTGGAGCCCAATCTAGGATTCCTAACAGGTGGCTGGGATCTTAGACCATCACATGGTACCTACTAGGATACAGGTCTGACAGTATGCTGAATTGATACAAAGTCAGGACTGGAACCAAGTTTACAAGTGTCCCAATCTGTCTTAACTATTGAGACAAATGCTTTTCCCTCAACACACACACACACACACACACACACACACACACACACACACACACATCACAGGACAGGCATTTGACAAAGCTGTTAAAAGGCTCCTGGGGCTGATTGTCTGCAATCCATTTAAGAATATCTGGGTTCAAGTCTAGGTTCCCTTCCCAGCTCCGGGTTCCTGCTAATGCTCACTCTGGGAAGCAATAGATGGTGGCTCTAGTTGCTGGCTTTTTGCCACCCACATAGGAAACCTGGCCTGAGCTCCAGGCTCTAGGCTTTGGCCTGGCCAAACCCCAGCTGTTGGAGGCATTTGGGAAGTGATCTAAAGAATGGAAAAACTGTCTGTCTAGCTTTCTTGCTCTCCCACTCTCTCTGCCTTTCAAATAAACTTTAAAATATTTCAAAGTTCTTCAAGGAAGAGAGGGGGCAGAGCCAGCATGGGAATAAGGGAGGGTTCCTTTGCTAGACAGCTACTCCTGCAGGAGAACGTAGGCTGGGATGGGGGCAGACCAGACTAGGCAGGGCTACAACACCTGTGCACCTCATGTGGCCTAGATCAGGGAAAAGCCAGGCTGGGCTGATTATTCCTACTGGTGCAAACAAAATTAGAGTGGGTGAGGGTTGTTTGGGCTTAGCCACAGCATCAGCTGGCAGAGGCTGGCACTGGGGGCTAGTTCTTTCAAGTCAAACCACAGAACTATCTGGAGAGTGCATAATCTGGTGTTGGGAGAGGCCTGGGAGGGAAATAGTGGACTCATCCCTCTTGGGTTACCACTTCCACGGGAGGACATAAAACTAAGACAACGGCTGGGGTGGAATGGGGTGTGGGACAGACTGGATTACTGCTACACTTACTGGCAAACCAGGGTAGGGGGAGGCCCTGGTGGGGGTTATTGCGGGTTGCTCCAACTAGGCTGCAGCTCCCACTGGTTTATGTGAGGGCCACATATGTGCTGGGCAGAACCAGGCTGGACTGCAACACCCATTGGTTCCAGTGGAAGTCGGGAGTGAAAACAGAACAACCCAGCAATTACAACTACCAGCTGATCAGGGCGATGGATGGTGCTGGGCCCTGTACTTGCTAGCACATACAAGAATCTGGTTTGAGAACACCTCAGACAGTTTCATTGGAGATCTACCCAATCAAAATGCTGGACTCAGAACCCTAACCAAGAAAAGACAGAAAACAGAACAGGTCAACCAACCATTTCAGCTATGATGGACTAGGTCAATCAGTGGATTTTTCGAAGACCTCATAGTGCTTGGAGTGGCAAGATTGGCAATGATTTACAACTGCTGAAATATTAAAACCACTTGAGCAACATCCTCAGAGCATGCCCTACATCTGGGACCTGGGGAGGGTGGGAAATTGGGTAGGCCTTCTCCCTTAATACCCCCCTTTAAACATGGAGGAAACAATATGGAAAAAATACTAGTCTTATCCACTTTCCTGTAGCCCTTGAACCTTTTTACCCTAATTAACTATGTAAAGATTGTCAAAATCAAAATAAATAAATAAATAAAAATTTAAAGTTCTTAATGAGACTCAGAAGGTTTTCTTTCTAGTTGGTAAAAACATTGACTTCCTCTGGAGGTGGCATGAAGTCCTATACTGCAACCCCTATTTCTTGCCCGTACCTGAATTCTTTCTATAATGAACTGGTAATTGTTAAATAAAGGATTTTTCTGAGATCTGTAATCCATTCTGGTAAATTATCAAACCTGAAGAAAGGAATTTGGGAACCCACCATTTATAATTTTTGGTCAGAATTACAGTGACCTAAAATTTTAATTCATATCTGAAGTGGGAAATAAATTGCAAATCTGAGGACTCCAGTGCTAATGTCATGTGGTAAGTGTCAGAGTTAAACTGGCTTGTTGGACATTTAGGTTGGCATCTGGAGAACTGACTGTCAGTGAACTGATTGAACTTTGTACTCATGAGAAGGGCTACTATAAAAGAAACAAAAAAGGAAATTAACAAGTATTTGTGAGGATGTGGGAAAACTGAAAGCCTCCTATAACCGTATCATCTAGCTTTCTACTTCTCGGCACATACATGAAGAGTTGAAAGCACCATTCATAGAAACATTATTTACAGAAGCCAAATGGTGGACATAACCTAAAAGTTAATTGACATATGAATGGAATAACAAAATGTGATCATAGGTTATTCAGCCTT